CAATTTTTTAACCGAAGCAAAAGTGAGGACATTTTGTCAGGAGTGTAAGATATTTAAAAAGCTTGAAGCTCCCTCTGATCTTTGCAGTTGCTATGGTTTTTACATTTTTGTCTGCACAGAATCCCTTAGCAGCCCCACCCCAGACGCCGGCCCACGGCACTGGCACCTTATCTGCCGTGTCCTGGCCTTGATCCTGCCGGAGGATTTTCATGTACTTCTCTAAAGGACTTCCACCACCACCAGACTTAGATTTCTCTTTCATTTCTTGAATACTCATTTCGATTTCTTTTTCCATTTCCATCTTCAATGATTCTTCAGTTAGCCTCTGAAATAGATGGGTACCAAAATAAGAAATACACAATTCCATGTTTTAAACGTCTAAAATGCACAGTAACTTAATTCCTGATCCTTTAAGTACAACCTAAATGTACAACCCATTACTTTTTAAAAATTGACATCATTGCTACCATCAAAGGAGCACAAACATGTCATCTCAATGAAGGGAGGGATTAATTTGCATCAAGCGTCCTGTGCTTTAGACCCAGTTAAACAGCAGTCCAAGGACCATCCAGATGGAAGATTAATATACAGAGGACTCAGTCGGCGTGTGACGTGGCCAGAGTAATCCGTCTGGACCCGACTCAGGACGCAGAGGGCCGACAGAGCACCAGAGGACAGAGGAGGGCAGGCGACCCTGGGAGCCACGTGCCCTGGGTTCCTCTAGTCCCAGCTAGCTGGTCTTGGGCACGGGTTAGGGGATAGAGATGGGGTCTCTTCTTCCAACCTCACTTACAGTGAGAAGTCCTCCTCGTTTACTAGCTCATTTTCAGGACCAGATGAGTATGCACGCAAATGGGCTTGCCAAGCTACCCGAGCCAGGAAACACGAGGTCCGCGTGACCCACAGCCACGCTCAGGGCTCCTCAGCCAAGGCTTGTCAGCTCCCTGCCATTCCCAGGACTTCGGGACCCACAAAGGACTCACTTCCCGGAGAGCAAGGCACCTGCTGCAGGTGCGGCAGGAGAAGCTCGGACAGAGAACTCACTGGGCTCGGCATTACCCTTTCCTGATCCAGTCTCTCCAGCTCCCGCCGCTCCCTTTCCAAAGTCTCCGGTCGCTCGCTCTGCGTCCTCTCTTCTTCCTGCCTTCGTTCTTTCTCTTGCTGTTCCCAAAGTTCTTCTCCTTCCTTCAGTTCTCCAATTTGTTTCTGATCTACCCCTAGTGGGACAGCAAACATAGTCATAAATAATCAGGAGTAGCTTCCAGCATCAGATTTTTCAAACAAACGCGGGACCGGCCGGCAGGGGCCTCAACAAGCCTCAGGGAGATGCTGAGATGCCCAGCTGAGATGCCTTGCTCTGAGTGGCTGCTCCACCTTCACGGCCTTCGAGCCCCCAGACCACACCCGCCCCCCACCTCACCAAGATGAATTCAGGTCATCTGAGCCACGACGTTGTCCACTGTCCCCCACTCCGGTCACGTCTCCTCCTCCTGTTCACCCATCTCCTCCCACCTCCATCCTTTCCAAGGCAAGCCCTGCGTTTCTACTCTGCATGCGGTTCCGAGCCTGCCCCACCCTTACGGAGCTGAAGCTACTGTCAGTCCCCATTTACTGACACAGAACTCTGGTCACTCTCTACGCCTTATTCCCAGAAGGACGCCCAAGTCTCTCCTGGCCAGAACAGAACATGACCACCACCCTCCCCGGCTGCTCTAGCCGCCCCGCCGTCACCCCACTCCCTCCAGGCTGAGCCCCCTCCTCGGGGTTTCAGCTACCTCCTCCTTCCGATCGTTCCCACGCCTCTTCTCTAGTCCCGATCTCTCCCCCAGCCTCACCTCCCGTGTCTAATGGGGTCCCTGCCATCAGCACATGGACATCCCACAGCGCTGGCTTCACACCTGAGGTTATCGTTCCTGTCCCTTTAATCACGCTCGTCCTACGCTATGTCCTCTCAGCCACCAGCTTGCAGGGCCTACCGCCTCCTCCCGCTGCTGCTGCAATCAGGGTTCTTATCACCATCGCCCTGGACGGCGGAAATAACAGCGTCCACGCTCTCCCTGGCATCAGTCTCACCACCTGCAAGCGCTCCCCCTAGGCCAGCACCAGTCACTTCCTGAAGAGAAGGCCTGGATTTGCTGGGCACTGCCCCTGCTCCGGAGGAGTTCCAACCCACGGCAGCCCAGGCTCTGCCCATCTGCCTTTCCCTTTCCGGACTGACTTCTTCTATCACCATCACTTTTGCCTGAGAAACACTCTACGCGTGCCAGCACACTCACTGGTCCCTGGCTCCAGCTGCTCCTCCCTGCTCCTGCCCTCACTTCCACTCCCTCCCGAGCCCGGCTGGCTCCCTTCCTCCCACGTCTCCCGCAAAACCCGACCTCCTGCGCAGGCTCCCACTCGGATGCACCTCCGCTCCACGGGCCTCCTGCTCCCGACACTGACAAGCAGCTTCTCCGGCGCCATATCCCCATGGTATTCTGCACCCGCCTTCTCAAAAACCCTGTGTGTCTGTTTTCTATTCCTGCCGGTGAGGCCCATGCTTTAGTCATCTGTCTGCTCCTGGAGCTCACAGCACAAGTCCCAGCGATTCACAGGCTTCATTCCACTTCAGTCCCACTGATGAGTATGCTGACCTTCCTCCTCCAGCTCTGGCCTACTACCTCAGCTTCTCCCCTCAAACAATGCTGAGAAACAGACAAATTCAGAGGTTCCCCACAGGACTCTGAACCTCTGTGCTGTCCCCAGTTCTAAGTCACCAGCAGAACTGCGTTGGTTTCTCTAACAGGAGAGAAGCTCACAATCTTCTCTCTCTCGTGACCCTGGCCACGGCCTCCAGTACCAGAGAAGGCAGCTGCTCATTGCCCCGGGCAGAAACGCAACCTCCGCCTGCCCTGCCGGGGGAGAGGGGTCACTCCTAGACGGTGTCACTTTCTCACCTGCAATAGCGGTCTCAGATTGGAATGCAGTTTGGGTGCCATTTTAAGAAGTTAAAGAAAGAAAATATCCGCAAACGATGTGACTAACAAATGCTTAATTTCCAGACTACACAAACAGCTCCTACAACTCAGTAACAAAAACCCCACAAACAACCCAAGCACAAAACAGGCAGAAGACCTGAACAGACATTTCTCCGGTGAAGACATCCAGATGGCCAACAGGCACATGAAAAGATGCTCAACATTGCTAATTATCAGAGAAATGCAAATCAAACCCATAATGAAATATCACCTCACACCAGTCCAAATGGCCATCATTAAAAAG